ATAATAAAAACATATACACACACACTCTATATATTTAAAAAAAAAATATATATATATATATATATATAATATATGTAAATTAAAAAACAAATGTAATAATATTAATAAATAGTATATATATAGACATATTTATATAGAAAATAAAATGTATAATCACTATATATATATATATAAAAAAAAAAAATTATTATATATATATATATCTATATATATATATATATATATATATATATAAACTATTTTTATATATTTAATTTATATATTAAAAACCTTTATATATATTTTTTAATTTTACTTTTTATATATATATATATATATATATATATATATATATATATATATATAAAATGTATAAATTAAAATTTAAAATATATATATATTATTTTTTTATATTTATTATTATGTTTGTATTAATTTTTTTTATTATTATTTTTAATTTGTTTATTTTATTTTTAATATTTTATTTATTTTATTTATATTTATTTAATGATTATACATTTTATTTTCTATTTAATTTTGTCTATTTATTTTCTATTTATTAATATTATTACATTTGTTTTTTAATTTACATTTATTTTATATATATTTATTTATTTATTTTTTTTTTAAATTTATTTAATGTTTGTATATATTTTTTTATTATATCAACTTCTATCATGTATATATTTACTAACAACCTAAACCAGACTGAATACTATAATATATAATATTACCACCCAGCAGAAATTCAATGGTATTATAGTGACCTAAATGTTAATAAATTAATGGATCCTACAGTTAAAGGCAAAATTAATATGCCTACCATTAAGAGTTAAAGACCCTTTTAAACTAAATTGTAATATTAAAAAATGTACAGTATGGCTAATAATTTAGATTTTTAACTGTACATTCATTGTTATTCCAGTGGTAAGCGAACTTAAACCCTACACAAGAGTAGATGGAAGATATAAAAGATATACAGTATAAATCCCATTTATTCCACAGCGAGTACATTCATAGCAGAGAAATGTGAAGAGGGTTTCCAGACATGAGACTTTTTGTCAACCTTTAGTGAATTATTCAGTAAATCTCTTTAATGCAAATCTTGTATGCACATCAGATAAGCTCCTCGTTTTTAAAGCAGTCTTCATGTGATTGTAAAGTAAATACTGTCAAATGAATCCAGATTGACTGAGGGTCTGGAAACAGGAAACATGTGAAGCTTCATTTCCTCTAGCACAGGAATCGGCTATTATAAAGCCGGTTAGCCCACAAACGCACACACTCTCGGCCACTTCCTAGTGTTGTCTGTTGCGTGTGCACAATGTGCATCAGACAGCCTGTGCTTTTGATGATGATGATGACTGTATGAATATTCACGATCCTAAACAGCGGCTTATAAAATGTTCAATTCCGAGACACTGAGTGAGCGAGAGAAAGCACCTGTTCCTGTGAAGCAGAGCGTTTTCATCTGAAACAAAGAGAAGAGCTTCAGACAAACAGCTCATGTTCATGTAGAGACTAATCACAGGCCGATGGATCAAACAGTGTGTGTGTGTGTGTGTGTGTGTGTGTGTGTACACCGCTGACTCCTTGTCTGACATGCTGCT